AGTGCTGGCTTTTGGAACACAGTGCTGAAATATACCAGATTCTACCCAGACCCATACAGTGAATATTTTCGAATTTGTTTTCTCAGAAAGCACATGTATTCTGTAGCTCCTTCTTTAGTCTTAATTCATCTCAGCCCGTTCCTTTAGAAATGTGCTACATGAGAGAATGGGTGGAATTTAACCTTGAAGTTCCCTTGATTTATAAAACTTTCGTCGTCAGTCTGGACCGTCGAAGATCGCTTTCTTCACAACCAGTTCTACAAAGAATCTTGAAAAGAAAAAAAAAATATTCGTGATTGCAGTCAGACATGTTCTGGGTCGGGTGAAGGAGTTTGAAACACGTTTATATTTGGGAAAAAAAATATAATAGCAAATGTTCTGAAAGTAAACAGACCCAGATAGTACGTAATACGAGGCGCGTCCCAAAAGTAAGTTTCCCACTCGTCCCACAGCTAGCAAACCTTATATTGAGCGAAGCGACTGTGCGTACGTGATAGAGCAATGACGTAGCATGGCGCATGCACTAACGGCACTTCCCGCGTTCTCACAGTAGCATCGTTGCAGCTGTTGAAGATGGAGGTTCTTATTCCAGCTCCCGCCGACTGTGAAGTGCGGTCAGTGATAACGCTAGGCCGCACACGGCTCGACGGACAGCAAGTCTCCTGCAGGAGTTCAGCTGGGAGGTGTTTAATCATTCACCCTACAGCCCGGACCTCGCTCCCAGTGATTTCCATCTTTTCCTACACCTCAAGAAATTCCTGTCCGGTCAGCGTCAGCGTCAGCGTTTTGAGAATGAAAGAGAGGCGGAGATGGTTGTCACACAGTGGTTCCAATCCCAGGCGGCAGACTTCTACGACACAGGTATTCAAAAGTTGGTCCCACGGTATGACAAATGTCTCAAATCCGGTGGCGAATATGTTGAAAAATAGCTAGACACTTGCTGTATCTGTTGCAATAAATATTCCCATGAAATTGTGTTTTGTTTCTGTAAACGGCCCCAGGGAAACTTACTTTGTGGACGAGCCTCGTAGAAGCCGTAGTGAAGAACTGCGAAAATTTTGATCGTCTCGCTGCATGAAGCTTTACTGTTAAGGTGACACGAAAACTAGAAAATCGACAATGCAGCTTCCTTCTTTCACTCATTCTACCGTGAGCATGAAGGAACTGCGACCTTGTGGCTCCCTGTATTGCAAATTCCTCCCCAAGTGAAGGTGGGGGTTCCCTTCTTATCAGCGCTCATTTAAAACGCAAGGAATAATCGGTCTTCTTCCCACAACCCGATTTACTCTCTGCTGCACACAGACGGGTTGAGATTTATAACGGAAATCGATCCTGGTTACCTCCGTTTACTTGGAATGAAACTGGTTCTGGCTAGGGTAATTAAGAGAACTGTTACATCGGATGGATACAATGCAGGATATCCCATTCAAATGCAATCGTAACTATCACACACGCACCCCTTAACGCACAAAACTACGAAACCAATGGCATTGTCGAATTCATTCTAAGGTGCTTACTGCCTCCATCATCAGGGTCCTGTCATATTATTACGCTGCAGGTTCAATCCGCATTTCTAAGTACCCAAAAACTTCAATGGGTGCTCCCACAGAAAAATCATTTCATTTTCGAATTATTAAAGCATAAACAGAGGAAAATTGCAATCATGGTCTAGCGGTTAGAACGCTGGCCTTATAATCCTGGGGTCTCGGGTTCGATTCCCGGCGGTGCCCGAATTTATAACTTGTGTTGGGCAAGGCCGTGGTCTAGGCAACACGGAGTTTTCCTCCGTGGCATCCCACCAATTACTCCATTCACACACAGAAGCAGGCAATGGCAAACCACTTCTGGATCATCTGCCAAGAACGTATATGAACAGGTCCCAGTCCGAGAAAAGGATGGAAGGATCCTGTTCATATGGACCTGTCGTCACACAGAACACTACAAATAAACAAAATAAACAGAGGAAACGGAAATTAAAATTAGACCGAACTCCACTTCAAGGGTAAGATAAAAAATCCGAGATCTCTTTACTTTCAGCACTTCAGCTCATATAGAAGACGAGAATAAAATATGACAAGTGGAAGGAAATTGGTAAAAAAAATTGTAAAAATCTATAAAAAGTCAGAATATAGAAACGTTTAGCGTTGTTGTTGCTATGGAAACGTTAAATGGCAGGTCTCTTATTCTGTACGTTCGAAAGTGAAAGCTGAATAGATTCTGGTTCTGCGAAGAAACGAGTTTCACTCAATTACACATCCTTAAACTGCGACGTTGTTACAGAAAGGGGTTCTCCCATTGGGGCTGCAAGTTTCCTCCTCAAATCACGTGTGCAAAATTAATCAGTGTAGTCGCTTGCTCCTTACACTAGAAGTGGGTGTAGCATTATTAGAACACTTTTAAGTACGTAACTGCACGACGTAATATCACGCAAGCACGACAAAAGACGATGGAAAATGCATTCACGACACCATCATCCTCTCCAAGGAGGACAATGGCATTCGAGTCACTCCTGGGTCCATCTGGACCATGAAGGTCGTTTTCGAAAGTTCTGGGGTTTAATCGTTTGCCCAGAATTAAACGAGATTTTCTCGTTTTTAAACAAAGTCTGTCCTGAAGACGACACATAACCTCATAGCTTGATAAGAATAGTTAAATATACAATTAAATAAGAGTACCAAGATGATATAGTTGCGTCATATTGTGAAATTTAATTAATTATTCGGTTTTTGTCCGTCTAATCACAATTCATATATAAATTTACAAATAAGATAATTAAAATATAATTTTATGTTCCTCATCGAACAATCGATTTACAATTGGAACATATACCTGTGTAGCGACATTAGATGTAGTGTGTTGGACTGTGCTCTGCAAGAACCCAGTGTTAGTCGGACAGTCTTCTACATAACTCAATGATTTAATGAATAGCATGTTTCCAGAACTTTTGATGATGGTGACATAATAAGAATGAACCTTAAGCCATGCGTTCACTAGTTTAAATAACCTCATTAATAAGGTCGTTGTAGCCAACCTACACTCCCAAACATTCACCTTTGCTGCCAACAGAAGCAATGGTGACAACATCCAGCAAGAAAAATTCCCTGCATGTTTAGTGCCTATGGACACACATTCCCATACTTGACACTAAACAGACTTATACGAGGGGACGTGAGGTATTCCAGGGGCAATTTTATTTTACGAACACAAATACGAAAAATGACACGTTTAAGTACCTGACATTCTGAAAGTAAAAATGTGTAAAGCAGTCAATTTTACATATTCCACAGCAAAAGTAAGACGTAACAATACTGAAAAGGTGAACAGCTGTTGGAAGTGTAAAGAATTCTTAGGTCAAAGCAGGCTGGCGTCGAGGGACAGCATTGATACGGGGTCCGCCTCTCTCCTACCTGGTGTTACAATGAACACACAAGTTTATGTTCGTTGATCTTTTATTTAGAATTCAGCCAAGTGTAAAAGAATGTCTATATTCCCCTTTTAACAAATCCCGCGTGAATTGGATCCTTCAGTCTGTATCGTCCGCCAATTTTTCAGAGCTCGCCGGTCCTTAGGCATCGTTTTGCCATACCGCGTAGCACTTATCCATGAAAATCTAATGTTAACTCCATACGTAGATGAAATTACTCGGGATCATGAGTGCGGATTTCGATATAATTGATCAGCTTCTGATCGATTATATCGAAATCAAACATAAGAGGAAATGGGAGTACATACCTACAGACTCCAAGGCGGCCCATGATTTATTTAGGAGGGAAGTATACAGTATTCTTATTAAATTCGGTAAAATTATGAAATTATTTAGACTAATTAAAATGTATTTAAATAAAATCTGTACTAAAATTCATAAAGGTAAATATTTTTCTTGTACATTTCCTATTCAAACGTGGTCTGAAGCAGGAAATGTTTTATCACCACTGTTTATTAACTTGAAATACGCCATCAGGAAGGTCGAAGCAGACAAAGGACTGGAATTGAATGGAACACATCAGCTTCTGGTCTGTGCTGATAGTGTCAATTTACTGGGAGAAGAAAAATACGATAGATTCCGGTTAATCGGGCCATCGGTTAATCGGGGCAGCTGTTTATTTGGGATAAATCTTAAAGAACATTTTTTTAACTCTTTACGTGGAACTTCGCCTAACTGGGGCAGGCGCTTAATTGGGCCAAAGTGTTCTAGTCCTGATGTGTCCCAATTAACCGGAATCCGTTGAATCATAAAGAAAATGACAGAGGCTCTGGCCTCTCACGTTCAGAGAAAAACTCAAATTGTGGGCATTTGAGAACATTGAGCTTAGGGCAGTGTATGGACCTGCGGAGGATAAGTGGCGGGAGGCTGGAGAAAATTGCATGATGAGGTCCTCCATAGATTGTGCTCTTCACCAGATATTACGATACCCAAGTCAAGGATGATGGGCAGTGCACGTAGCGAAAATGAGAGATATGAAAAATGCGTTCAAAATTTCTGTCGGAAGGCCAAAACAGAATACACCACTTTGAATTTCTGGGCATAGATAGGAGAATAATATTAAAATGCATCTTAGGAACATCGATTTTGGGGGCGTCAATTGGTTTCATATGGCTCACGAACGATCCGTAGGCGTGCTCTTGTGAACACGGTAATGCGCCTTTGGATTTTATAAAACGCGGGACATCTCTCGATTAGCTGAGCTGCTCAAGAAGGACTCCGTCAGTTGGTTCTCCATTTCGGCTTTTAGACAGACAGACAAACAAACAAACAAACAGAGGAGAGACAGTACATCACTTCAGAGACCTATGGGTATGAAATATGCACCTGATATCAAAATGGATCTGAAAGCAACAGGTGTTGAGGATAGGGGCCTGATTAATTTGGCATATAATAGGATACAATTTCTTGGCTAGTTGAGCAAATGTTACCTTATCAAGAATGGTTCTTATACATAGGGCTGTGTCCCATATTAATTCACCTTGGAAAGAAATGACTTGGAAAGAATATAGCTTACCTTGTTTCGAATCATCCTTTTATTTCCCATTTCTCAAATCAAGTATCCATAAATGTAGTTGGTTTTACACTAAAAATACCACCAACATTCATGTAAACAGACGCGCGCACACACACACAGTTTGTAACTGTCACTTTTTAAACAACACGCAACATGCACACATAATAATATTAAAAAAAACACCGCGTCACATTTTAACACCAATGCCGACTAATATTGAAACTGAATTGTGAGTCTTTTTATGGAATCTCGTTTCCAAGAAAAAACCTTTGCATCGTAACCGCGTTGAACTGTAGCAACCTTGAAGACTAGTCTGAGGAGCTGTTGCCTCTGACAAGCTGGCCCTCGGAATGTCTACCTCCCCCCGTTCCGCCCTCGTACCTGAACCAACAATCCAATTCAACAAAACCAGTTTCCTTACGCCCGGATGTTCCCACCCACAATGCTGAAGTGTTTGTTGGGTTGCATAAATGCATGGCATAAAATGGATTTCAACATACAGCAGTGATGCCATCTCATGGAGACTTATCTTACTATATAGCCCATATTCTTCACGAATGAATTTTTAAGTTCGACCAACGCTTTCGAGGGACGTATATCCCGCGTTGGGCGAGTGAGATTTAGTTTTTGAAGAAACTATGGCGAAAATCGGTTCACAGTTACCGAAGTTAAAATGTTCTACTTTTCTCAGTCTCTACAATCCAATACCGGGAAACTACTGACCGATTTCTGTTCCTTATTCCTCGGCCTGTCTTTCTTCTGTTTGTGAGAGGTTCGCCATGTTCTACCGGTGTACCTGCCCACTCATTCTAATTCTAAACCTAATAATACAGAATTGCCCATGGGGAAACCTTTACGGAGGAAGCTAACAGAAGACCCTGACAAGAGAAATGAGTTGCTTCGTACTACAAATCAATACTGTCGTCGGGATTTGATGATCGCTCGTGTCAGAGCTCAGACCTGTCCGCCTGGAAACAGTACTGACCGACAGTCACGTGTTTGCCAGAGTTTCAGTGCAATGTGCCGACACATTTTCTACTTACTGTTTACTTCGATGGCTCTGCGTGGTAATAAGGTCTGTAAATACCAAATATATCACTTTAGGCATTAAAACGTGAAGCTACGGTACCCTGGCAACCTGACAGCGATGGTCGCAGATCATTTCATACATCACATCTCGTCTTTCTGCCCCCTACTCATTCGTGATAAGTACTCTTACTGCTTCTTGTTTCGATGTTTAATTTCAAATGAAGAGCTGATAAAAGGGCTATATTCTTACGTTCGAGCCGGGGCTTGCTACGTCATAAACACGCTTTTAAATCACGGAGTTCCTACAGATTGTCCGAAAAAAATAACGTATATATTTTTATTCTAAAACGGAATATTAACCTTGTTATCGTTTGTCCACCGCTGCCAAATGTGCCACGAAGCTAACGGTGGTGATTTTAAATACCTACACTAGATTCGCTAATTCACGTACGCAATGATTAAAATATCTTATTTCATTCAATGAATGTGCGTACACATATTTTTGAACACTCTGTGTACTTCAGTCATTACTGTCAATCAATATAACATTCATTGACGTGTGTATAGAAGATTAGTTTCCTTTCTAAGTAGGTTCTGAGGTTCTCACGGCAGTGAGTACGAAGATGACTGTCTTTTGGATTTGTAGAAGTTTACCAACGGTTCAGAGATCCCTGCTACCTCCATCATCAGGGTGATGAGTTGTCTTAATGATAGAGGTACAAAGCAGTCGAACCGTAATAAATTAATTTCAGGGACCTTCGTCTTATTAACCAGAAATTTTATTAAAAACTAAACTACATACAACAGTACTTTCAAAGAACCTAAAAGTTACTCTGGTTGTCAAGAAATTCCGTTCTTCACTATGAAACTCGAAGGTTCATGACCGTGATCACAACAGTCCTGGGCCAGATAAGCTTGACCTTTCCTAGTTCCAAATCACGCGTTCATTTCCCGATGTTTAGGTCGCTACAAAATATCAGTTCACATCTGATGCTCTGTATAGCATTTCGTAACATGATACTTATAAAGTTTATAGGTTGTTAGCCCCATCTACAGCGCTTGCTATAAGACCAACACCCCTTCTCGGCTGTCCGCGACAGCGAATTCAAAAGAGCTTACCGCAGATGTTCTTCGAGCAGAAGACAAAGAAACTTTTCGGTAGCCTATGATGCGCAGAATCATAATTTGGTTCGTTCGCAGAGCGCAGTCGCAGTTTATGGCCAACTGTCGTCGTGCCCCACTCCACGAATCGGAGTTTCCTGGACGTGCTTCCATCGGCAAACCTGGTTTGGCGACTACTCCACCACATGTTGAAAGGCTGGTGTCCGATACCCGCATGCTCGCCGTGGTCACAAACCGGCCCGCATCGTACAGGCACTCGGAATCCAGAAAGTGAGAGTCCTCGGTTCGAAGCCCCTGCCCTCGGACTCTCTACCGAACACGTACAAAGACAAATGTCGTGACCCAAACCCAACGAAATTCAAAATGAAAGGATTAACGGAAAATTCCTAGGGCGCGGGGTCTTATCCCTTCTACCCTTCCCTTCGCCTTGGCGAAAGGAACGAGATTTGAACTCGCAGTCCATGCGTGAAGCTTGCAACTGCCAGTGAAGGTATTTATTGTCTCAGTCCGGCGAGACACGGTGTTTCAAGTCAGGGAGGGAATTCCCTGTTCCGCTTGGGGGCTTTTTCTTCTAAGTAACTTCGTGACCCCTACCAACTTCTTCCGAGTTTCATTATCACACACCAGTACCTCTCAGGGGTGTCCACCCTCAGAATCCAAGTTAACTCAAAACGTGCATGTGCCGTGAGTCTTACAGCAAAGAATTTAGTCCAGTTCTGCATTGCAGAATTTCTACACCAGCACACGACAGACTTGTGACATCTTCCGTCTTGGGATAAAACGGCCGGAACTTTGCGATCATCACATACCTTTGTCCGGTGACAAATTTAACAATTCGTAGTTTTATCGGCACTCACCCACGAGATTTTTAGGAAGCTGGATCTTTAACTCCACGGAAGAGAGAGTTCTTCTTGGGAAAACGATAGTCGCTTATATAGTCAAGAGATTCCCCACGTTTTAAGTGACCCAGAAAAACCCGTCACTTGTCCGTATCCTGCCGCTGATGAATACAATCCACAAATTATTGCTTTAACATACATTTTAATAGTATACCTCCCTCTGTACCTAATCTCCCAAATGGTCTCTTTCTGTCAATGCGACAATAATGCTATACCTAATCGCTAATTACACTGATTCAAAGTGTGTTCGAAGGTTTACAGTGCATTTTCCAAGAAGTTGCTGATTCATTAGCAGACCTATATCTACTCAAACCATTTTATCTGTGGTTGGAAACAATTTATAAATTATATCGTATATTTTCGAATTATAACAAAAATAACATTCTGCTTGCAGGTCCATCTATCACCTATAAAGTTCTCTTCAGTACCATCCATTTTATAATAAGATATGTTCAAAAAATAGAACACTAACGTAGTTACGAGACCATAGATGAAAGGATAATATTAAAATGCACCTTAAAATATGTGGTGTGAATGTTTGCGCTGCATTCATCTGGCTCAGAATAGAGTCCACTGGCGAACACTTGATAACACGACAATGAATCTTCGTGTTTAATAAAAGGCGAGATGAACAACTACCAGATTTTCATTTAGGACATCCCATACGATATTCAGTTATTTATAAGTCGTTGTTAACATTTAACCCTGAGAAACGAGCCTATTTCAAAGTTTCTGCTCAGTGATACAGGAATGATTCACACGACGTACATAGGAGAGGGCAAAATATCTGTTCGTATGGGACATCCCTGACATAACAAAGGTGCGGGACCCTCATATCGGAACAGCTGCACAGGGCCCTTACCAGTTCATACACACAAACACAGCATGACAAGGCGATGGGAAGTCCGTTCAGATATTCAAACAAGGATCTACTATTCACAGATAATATCAACTTACTACCTAACTCAGGATTTTGATATGAGTTTTAAGATGCGTTGCTGCTCGACCAGACTTCAGCGCCCTCACAGGATAGCATTTGAGCGTGTCAACAAATAGCCTACCATAAGAGAGTTCTACATGTGGACAACATCAACGGACTTTGTTCTGATGCAACTGAAGCCAGATCGCATGTTCCTCGAATCTACGCTTAGGTGTGGTGTTCCTTGAAGATAAAGGCAGAAGTTTCCTCCGACATTCTGAAGGTTCTTCATGTACAATTCAAGCGGTGAATCAAAACATCAGACGAGGAGATTAGAATTGTAACCGTTTAAAGTCTCATATCTACGGGGCAACGGCTAACCTGTGATTCTCTGTGGTTTTCCTTAGTTCTTTCAGACGAATGCAAACATTAAAAACACGACAGAGTCTAGGACATTAAAATAGAGCAAACGTACTTCAATCACAATCCTTAACTACTACTCATTGATGATTCCCATTTCATTCGACGCCAGTAACTTCTACAGTTGAAAGAGCGTCATTAAATTATCTTATAATTGATTTTATTTAATGAGCCAATACGACACACACTTGTACCGTCTGAAATGGGTCTCTCGTGATCACCGCATTGTAAACCACACGCCGTCAGATCTGCAAAGCCAAAAGGCAACTGCCCGTCGACCTCCTTGAGGAAAATACGGTCTGAACCTTCTTATTCCAAGTCTGGCTTCTTGAAATTAGCGAACGCCAATTAATTTCACTTTTCACATTTACATACATCGGAACAGACGGCACGATGTTATTTGCGAAGGAGCTTTTCGATTTTATCTTTCCGAGGGTCTGCTCGCTTTGTCAACCGACTCTACTCCGTAAACCAGCATCCATATGTCAGAGGAGGGGGGGTAGTGCCCCACCCGACACAGCCCCTTTCACCTGGAACATCGTTGGCACGAGCCAACTCCAACGACCTACGTACACACTTTTCAGAAACATTTGATCCAATTTAAAACTTATTTCTCCTCTTAGAAAGAGCCATCGCTTACATCTGCTAGCCAGATCCGTGGGGCAGAGACCTCTTTTAGGATATACTTAGTCGTTCAACTAAAAAAAAAAAAAAAATTCCACGTCTATAGATCCAGAAGATTCATTATCGTATTCACAACAGCATGAGTACAAGTCCTCATCCCGAGTCAGGTGAATTCATTCACTTTAATATTATTCTCCCATCTACATCTAGGTTTCCAAAGTCGACTCTCCCCGTCTGGTTTCCCGTCTAGAATTACGCCTAACTACATTTTGCATACAGCATACAAAATACAGTAAAATACCTTCCTGCCTCATGTTCTAACTTTATCTTCACTAGTCACAGGCCATTTTCATAAACGAGTATTCTACAACCGAGTCATGGACGTATAAGATGAGAGAAATGCATGTAACATTTACTTCCGTAAACCGTTTGAAGCCGAAGCTCGTTTAAACATTATTTAAGAATTAAGTCCGTACCGCATAGAAAACACAACTCCTGATCATTACAAATATCACTTGGTTGATGCTGTTGAAGGAGTTAATCTATATCTACAGCGAAAATCATACAAAAGCCACGCATACAAAATGCAAAGTAACTGAATGTTAACGCAGTTGATACACAGAGATACCACCTGCTTCAAAGCGTTAATTTTTTTTTCTATGTTCAATGCGCCAACAGCCATGAATAAACCAGTGATACCGAATTTAGCACAAATCCTTCAGTTATTGGTGAATCTTATATTACACAACGCGACTTCAAATTACGAAATTCAGTCTACATCAAACGTCTCTCAGACTTTTCAAGAACCAATTGCATTTCATTCCGCCTTTCTGAGGCTTTCGAAGCCAAAATTAGGATACCTTTCTTCAGAGCTGATACTTCCTTGAAATATTGACGCAAAATTCATTATTCAGCTAACATGAGACAATTCGACTGTCCTATAGGCCTAATTTATTATTTATTTAGTGTTCTGTCTGACGACAGGTCCATATGAACAGGATCCTTCCATCCTTTTCTCGGACGGGGACCTGTTCATATACGTTCTTGGCAGATGATCCAGAAGTGGTTTGCCATTGCCTTCTTCTGTGTGTGAATGGAGTAATTGTTGGGATGCCACGGAGGAAAACCCCGTGTTGCCTAGACCACGGCCTTAAACAAGGATCTACTATTCACAGATAATATCAACTTACTACCTAACTCAGGATTTTGATATGAGTTTTAAGATGCGTTGCTGCTCGACCAGACTTCAGCGCCCTCACAGGATAGCATTTGAGCGTGTCAACAAATAGCCTACCATAAGAGAGTTCTACATGTGGACAACATCAACGGACTTTGTTCTGATGCAACTGAAGCCAGATCGCATGTTCCTCGAATCTACGCTTAGGTGTGGTGTTCCTTGAAGATAAAGGCAGAAGTTTCCTCCGACATTCTGAAGGTTCTTCATGTACAATTCAAGCGGTGAATCAAAACATCAGACGAGGAGATTAGAATTGTAACCGTTTAAAGTCTCATATCTACGGGGCAACGGCTAACCTGTGATTCTCTGTGGTTTTCCTTAGTTCTTTCAGACGAATGCAAACATTAAAAACACGACAGAGTCTAGGACATTAAAATAGAGCAAACGTACTTCAATCACAATCCTTAACTACTACTCATTGATGATTCCCATTTCATTCGACGCCAGTAACTTCTACAGTTGAAAGAGCGTCATTAAATTATCTTATAATTGATTTTATTTAATGAGCCAATACGACACACACTTGTACCGTCTGAAATGGGTCTCTCGTGATCACCGCATTGTAAACCACACGCCGTCAGATCTGCAAAGCCAAAAGGCAACTGCCCGTCGACCTCCTTGAGGAAAATACGGTCTGAACCTTCTTATTCCAAGTCTGGCTTCTTGAAATTAGCGAACGCCAATTAATTTCACTTTTCACATTTACATACATCGGAACAGACGGCACGATGTTATTTGCGAAGGAGCTTTTCGATTTTATCTTTCCGAGGGTCTGCTCGCTTTGTCAACCGACTCTACTCCGTAAACCAGCATCCATATGTCAGAGGAGGGGGGGTAGTGCCCCACCCGACACAGCCCCTTTCACCTGGAACATCGTTGGCACGAGCCAACTCCAACGACCTACGTACACACTTTTCAGAAACATTTGATCCAATTTAAAACTTATTTCTCCTCTTAGAAAGAGCCATCGCTTACATCTGCTAGCCAGATCCGTGGGGCAGAGACCTCTTTTAGGATATACTTAGTCGTTCAACTAAAAAAAAAAAAAAAATTCCACGTCTATAGATCCAGAAGATTCATTATCGTATTCACAACAGCATGAGTACAAGTCCTCATCCCGAGTCAGGTGAATTCATTCACTTTAATATTATTCTCCCATCTACATCTAGGTTTCCAAAGTCGACTCTCCCCGTCTGGTTTCCCGTCTAGAATTACGCCTAACTACATTTTGCATACAGCATACAAAATACAGTAAAATACCTTCCTGCCTCATGTTCTAACTTTATCTTCACTAGTCACAGGCCATTTTCATAAACGAGTATTCTACAACCGAGTCATGGACGTATAAGATGAGAGAAATGCATGTAACATTTACTTCCGTAAACCGTTTGAAGCCGAAGCTCGTTTAAACATTATTTAAGAATTAAGTCCGTACCGCATAGAAAACACAACTCCTGATCATTACAAATATCACTTGGTTGATGCTGTTGAAGGAGTTAATCTATATCTACAGCGAAAATCATACAAAAGCCACGCATACAAAATGCAAAGTAACTGAATGTTAACGCAGTTGATACACAGAGATACCACCTGCTTCAAAGCGTTAATTTTTTTTTCTATGTTCAATGCGCCAACAGCCATGAATAAACCAGTGATACCGAATTTAGCACAAATCCTTCAGTTATTGGTGAATCTTATATTACACAACGCGACTTCAAATTACGAAATTCAGTCTACATCAAACGTCTCTCAGACTTTTCAAGAACCAATTGCATTTCATTCCGCCTTTCTGAGGCTTTCGAAGCCAAAATTAGGATACCTTTCTTCAGAGCTGATACTTCCTTGAAATATTGACGCAAAATTCATTATTCAGCTAACATGAGACAATTCGACTGTCCTATAGGCCTAATTTATTATTTATTTAGTGTTCTGTCTGACGACAGGTCCATATGAACAGGATCCTTCCATCCTTTTCTCGGACGGGGACCTGTTCATATACGTTCTTGGCAGATGATCCAGAAGTGGTTTGCCATTGCCTTCTTCTGTGTGTGAATGGAGTAATTGTTGGGATGCCACGGAGGAAAACTCCGTGTTGCCTAGACCACGGCCTTGCCCAACACAAGTTATAAATTCGGGCACCGCCGGGAATCGAACCCGAGACCCCCAGGATTACAAGGCCAGCGTTCTAACCGCTAGACCACCGTGGCTATATAGGCCTAATAAGGTTAACAAAATAATTGACAGAAATGTATTCGTTGCAGTGCAAATATCAGACCTACATTTTCCAATTATATGTCAACTGATGTTTTTATAAACGGTAATACATTTTTCAGACACGAGCCATGGTAACGGTTGGCTTGGAAACGGTTGTGATAGGCCCTTAGCACGTGCTAGCTGTCGGTTTTTAGAATCTAAAATTGATTCTGCAAGTCTGTTGAACCACCCCTTACTACTCCATATGTTTCGTATACACTCACCCTTCACAAATATTCAACAGTTAGGGGACCTTTAAACCCCTCGATTCCCCCATCTCACGTCGGTAACAATAGAAGCCACCACCATATTTTCCCCTCCCCAATTTAAAAGCCAGCACAACACAAGGACAAGCCTATGTCAGTTGCATACCGGTCCAGTTATTGGTATGGTCGCACATATTACTCGCTTAGTGGCGGTTGAACTCGAGTGAGTGAAGTGACTCTTTCGCCAGAGGGGCGGTGCTCCTGTATACAGCACCGAAATCACAGATCTAGCTTCATTCAAATTGTATATTCACAAACTGGATCCTGCAAACTGTTTGTCCGTGAACTGTCCTTACTAGTGTTGTTATCGCAGAGCTCAAAGTGACCTCAGAGAAGCTTCCCTTTGCAGCTAACTTATTTCACTAACGGAAAAATTAACTAACATTTCACTTCAGAAACAATTACGAATTGCTAAACACCTACTATTAGAATCGTACAAAATTTTATTAACGGCGCATTTGTGTTTTAGAGACTGTGTTAGGTGTTCTTACGTTCTGCAGAGCCAGATTACTTCAGTGATATTTTACGTCGTGATGTTTGTGGAACTAAGAATTTAAACTTAATTTAATGTTACGTGTGTTTGGTGTAATTTTTTCCCTAAAGGAACGAGTGTTCGAAGACGAGTTGCCGACTAGTATGAATTAATAAGCAGTCAAGTGTTGTGGTTTGATTAAAACATCCTACGATATAAGAAATATATACATAATACATTATCGCATTAAACTATAAAATCAAAATACCTAAGGAACTTCATGCTGTATTTGTGTAGCTCAACTTGTAAGAATCTTTTGGATAAATTTTTAATATTTCCAAGAGCAATAGTCTAACAAATCCAGCAGAGTGAAACACAGAGTTAATACTGTTAAAAGTAGAATTTTTAAAATAATTTTGCGTATAAATTTCTAAAGACGAACATCAAGATGCTATTAAGTACTATTGCAATCTAACATGTAGTATGGGAATACCGGATTAAGACTGCTGACACACAAAGGTAAATAAACAGTTTACTTTAATTTTCAGTCAAGAAGTTTTTCGTTCTTTTCAAAATTTCCAGTGTTTTATATTAGTTTTAAGATGGCTGCTTACAGAAATTTATATTTTCTCAGTAACTAATAGTACAGTGAGTCAGATTTCAAGTATTTAAAGTATATTCTCTAGAATAACGTAAAATATAAATACAATGGCTTCGCAAAGAGCATCTAATGGTTATAACAACCCAGCTTATTGCAATCAATATGATTACGATCAGTTAACGAGACATTCTTCGCCAAGAATAATGAATCATGGAAATCAGACGTACATATCAGCCTCTGCAGTGGACAACTATTGCTACGAAGACGATGAGGAAATACAACTGTCTACTATCGTGCATAGACAGCAAACAAGGCAAATGGTGAGACAGCCACCTATTGGGGCTTCTACAACGCTTCGAATAACAGAATCAAGATTCGATAACATCTCGCCAAGAAAACCGACGATACGAATGTCGCCAAAACGAAATCATCAAAATGTAAAATCAATGATTTCTCCTGAAAGTGTTCATCGAAATGATACAACAGTCACATCACCCGTAACTCCAAAGAAAAATTATTCCGTCATTATGACGTCAACACCAAGGAAGCCTCACATACTTGCGTCGAAGTCTCCAGGAAGAGCAGAGATCTTTCCGCCAAGACGACAACAAGAATGTACTAGAAACGCCACGCCGGTATCTCCAGTTTCTTCGGCAAGAAAAACAACATTGCCTACATCGCCTGCCAAGCCATCAGTCCGTAATATGAAGTACGAGCTAACTCCGCAGACCTCAACACGTCCTCGCCGTAACACAGCGGTCATACCCCCGATGTATGCTTGCACGGACACTTCAGTAATCTCGTCGCCCTCGAAACATGAACCGTTCTTGTGCAGGAAGTCTCAGACGAGGACCGACACGTCTCCTGGATTGAAAGTGTCGTGGATCCATATACCGGAGTCTAACCAGGCGCCTCCGACGGGGACAGTAATGATGGCTGGCGCTACGCTGCTTGTGTGTGGCGCTGTCACGATAGCGCTGTGCCTCTACATGATGTTCAAGGTGAGGAACCTAACCTAATCTAACCTAACCTAAATTAACCTAACCTAACCTAACCTAA